CACCAATCAACAGAGAAAGACTCATTCAATCATAGAGCTTAAGAATTAGAGTTTAGAAGCAGCTCTTGAAGATCTTGAAGTTGACTTTGTGCTCAAACTAATGAAAACAAGTACACTCTTAATTCACTATTTCATCAACAATTAGCTCCGAATAAAGAGCTGAATGCACTAGAAAAGATGCGTTTTCATTTATGTACACACAAAAGATTGTGGGACATTTGAAACGCACCCCACCTTTGCCATTGGCAATCCAATTTTGAGCTCAAATTTCTTGGTATTGAGCTGTCCAATTTCAATAGTTTTTACACCAATCGACAGAGAAAGATTTGACTCATTCAATGATACCAATAATTTATAAATTGAACACCCGAACACCAAGAAATTTGAGCTCAAAGTTAGATTGCTAATGGGAAAAGGGGTGGGACGCGTATAGAATCTCCCACAATCGCTAAAAATAGTGATCGCTTTGAATTTCATTGCTAATTTGCTGTTCATTTATGCCAAAGAAGCTTTTAAAATAAAATTTTGCTCTCAAAAGTTTAATTTTGTCTACCTACAAAGCCTTTGATCTTTAGCTCTAATTATGAGCCACTTTGTAGAGTGCGTTCTTCGCGAGCAAGGCGTTTTTTTTATAAGGCATCTAGTTGAGAGAAATATCGTAATCAAACACCAAGTTTCCATTTGATCAACCCAATTTTCGTATCATTGACTGAGGCTTGCAATCCTCGTCGAATGATACAAAAATTAGGCTAAATAAAAACTACACAGAGCCCTAGTTACAAATTTTATCATGGACAAGCTCAAAATTGTGTTGCAAATCTCCTAAGATCAGGCTTGTAAATAATAGGTATTCTGCCGTTCTAGCGCACCTTTTCGCCCATTCTCAATTTTCCCATTTTCAAGCCATTTTAAGACTTATTTTCATTGATTTTGTGTCTCAACTCTTCGAAAATGTCTCATTTTCAACAATTTTCAAAAATGACCAAAAGGTCGAAATGCGTTAGAGAAAAAAATGTGGTCGAAATGGATGGTCGGAATGGTCGAGAAAAGTGCGCTAACTTTTTTGAATAAAAAATAAGCTTAATAAATGCATTTTACAAAAGACCTGAAGCCTTTGACCAATTTAAATCTTCTGAATCTCGTAGAAAAGCTAGGAATCAAGAATTTCCGGGGCATCTTTATGAGAGACACTTTGCCTACTCAAATACAGCCAAGAGAAGTAGGAATTGTGAATTTAGACTCGATTAGCTGATTCCGATCAGAGTTTAAAATTGTCACAAAATGATAATAAAGTATCAAAAAATGTGAATAGTCAATCTACATTTAAAAGACAAAAAATTATAAAAAGAAAAATAAATTAACCAAAGAAAACCAAGAATTTCTAAATGGAATAATTACTGGTTCTGGATTTAAAACTATTTCAAAGCAATAAATTTATAAAACAACAGAGTTTACATATTCAGCAAAAAAAACAATACGAAGATTACTGTTTACTAAACAATGGAATTCAAAAGAGTCTGAAGATGCTCCAAATTTTTTTGCAATGTGTCGATGTATTCGTTCAGTTGGTCGGTGGGACTAACACGGAATTGTCGTTTTTTGAAGCCAATTTCTAGCCTTTTAAGGAGGCCTTTAGTTGGATCAAATTGTTCACGAGCCAATTCGATCTTGTTTGAGAGATCCCACTTATCCAAATACACCTTTGCGATCTTCAACCAGGAGTTGTCGTCGTGTTGATTTTTCACAGCAGAATATTGTTTTTTCCATCCTTTGTGTGGAAAAGTTGTGATCAGTTCGCTTTTGATATCTGGATAAATCTTGAAATCGTTTGTCGGGGCAAAGTCAACAATTGCGGCGTGCTGCGTCCCTTTCCACCTTCCTAAAATCAATTATATTATAGTTTTCAGACACTAAAACAAACCGCAGTTCTGTTCATGTAGATCAGAAATGAATAGGAGCACTCTAAGCATAACCAATTGAACAACGACATCCGCGCAAAGGCTGTTCTCATTAATAACGTTTTCAAGAAGCTCAAATCTGTCGTCCCATTGAGTAGCAATGTATCTGAAATATGCAAAGATGTATATGTATATGTTGTGTCCGATTTAGATTGAACTTATCGCGGACGTCCGATTTAGATTACAGTCTATATCGGACGTCCGATTTAGATTCAATCTAAATCGGACGTCTTATATAGATTGAACAATAATATAAACATGTTTAATATATGTTCTTAAGCGTTTTTGCAATTTTCTGCGCTTTTCAAGGAAATTTTATTGTCTTTTTCTGAAAAGAAAACCCAACTATGAAACAATTTATTAGCGTTAACAGAATAGATGCAAAATTACAACATATAACAACAAAAAACTAACAACAACAACGAACGAGTTAAAAATTTCTATTTATTTTTGCAGCTTAGGCTATTGTGACATCTTGAATTGCAGAGTTGTGACATTGTGACATCTTGAATTCTTTGTGGCATCTTGAACATGCTAATTTGAAAATGATTAATTTCTAATTTTTTAAAGAGACTTTGAAGAGTTGAATTATAATACTCTTTTCCATTATCAGTTTGCATCTTTTTTGGTTTCCTTTTACTCTTTGTAAAAATTGAGAAGAGAGCATCTGCAGTTTCTTTGCCTGTTTTACTCTTTAGAGGAACAACCCATGCAAACTTTGAAAAACAATCTATAATTGTTAAAAGATATCTAAAACCATCATTTTCATCTGCATACACTTGCATTTCTACAAGATCTGATTGCCACTGATCATCTATGCCATCAAAGTAAACTCTTTGACTTTTGAAGTTTTTACGAGCTGGCTTATGTAAAGTGTAAACATCTTGCTGATTCAGAAATTCTTTGACCTCTTTGATAGGTTTCTTCGTTATTCTTGCTAACTCATTGATACCACAAAATCCACTGAATGGTGAGTAATAAGTTTTTTCTAGGAGTATTTTATCTTTTTCTTTGATGTCTTTACTTTGCTCAGGAATTCCATTTCCTGTCTTCAAAGTATTCAATCCTTCGGATCTAGGAGTCGAAGACTCTGTAGGAATGAATTTACACTTCGTGGTGTTGCAATCTTCACACAATCCCTTCATCATCAATTTGTTACTTTTGGAAATTATTTGTGATGTATCAATGGTGTTTGTATGTTTCTTGCACTTGAAACAAAATATGTCTTTATTTGATCTTATGAATCCTTCGGACATTCTATTTAAAACAATGAAAAAATGATGAAGATAAAAAAATAACAATCATTATTAGTAATAGTTATTATATATATTATTACAGTTAAAGGCTACAGCAGAGGTTCAAAAGTGTTTATTCAGAGATACAAGGGTTTATATATACGATTGTTATCACTGACAATATTGTAGAGAATGTATGCACTTGATGTCAGTGCATGTCATTCTTTGAGATCATCGATCACGATCGGTCGTAGCTCAATACCCTAACAATTACAGGTATCAGTATAGTTATATTTTATAAATACCGGTAAAGCTATACTCATTATGAGAATAGGACTTGTCTGAAAAGATCTAATTTTAAATTTGAAGTCTTTGAAGCAACTTTGAAGCAAGTTATAAGCGATAATGAGATAATTTATGCGAGAAAATGAAGCAAAACTGAAGAAATTCTGAGACGAAAGTCGTTCTCAAATAAGACACTTCGTCCTTCTCTTCTCTCTTTTATTTATCAACAACTCTTGAAACGCCTTCGCCCTGACAATTTCTCGATGTTTAGGTGTGACCACTTTCTCTTTGTTAGACCTTCTTTTCTCTTCCTCACTGTGACCGAGCACAATCACACATTTGCTCCAGTTGAACTAGGCGCACGCGACGCGACACGCAAACGCGTTGGGCTAGAGTGGAAGGGTGATGAGTAGGGTGTGTTCCTTGCAGACAACGCGTTTTCTAAAAAGCGCGCGCCGAAGATAAGCGACCGTAACCCTATGCTTTGCGTCAGCAAATTTTTCAAAATGCAAATGTACATTAAAATCTTGCGCTTTTTTTCTGTTATTCTTTCCATAACTTTTTGTTTTTTTTTCTCCTTTTCAAACAGGTTAAATTGATAATTCCTACTATTTAGAGTACTGCGTAGAGAACCGTGTGATTGTGAGAGAAAATGGATGCTTCTCCCAGTAATAGGGTAAATTCTAGTGATAGTTGCCTTTACGCTTATAAATCACAGCTCATGTCAAAAGTTCGATAAAACTTGAAAATTTTAAAATGCTATGTAAAATTAAAGAAAACATTTAAAACGGAAAAAGTTAAGAAACACTATTAAAAAATTATATTATTTAAGAATTTACCAGGCTTATTGTCTACATTTGCCTAGTGCATTTGCCGTTAACAACTATTCAAAAACAAATTTCACGCCCTAAAAAAATCGAAATCCTTAAATAAAACTATCCATTACTACATTTTAAGAAAATTTTGCACATTTTTTTTCGCGCGGCCTTTATAGCTTTGCTTAAAAAGCGCACCTTTTAGAAAACGCGTTGTCGGAAGTTGTCGGATCAATTGTCCGACAAAAAAGTTGTCAAGACAAATTTGTCTGACAAATTGTCTGTCAACAAGGAGCACACTCTAGTGATGAGAGTGACGCGTCTGTGAGCAGATACGCAGAGGAAGGCGAGAAACTGCCAACATCGCATTCTTCCATTAACTTTTGTGAATAGAAAAGAGACTTCCTTTTCTTCTGTGGTTCGCGTTGATTTCGTGATTTCCCATCCGTGATTATCATTGTTATTTTCTCCTTAACTTTGAGTTTGTTAACAACTTTTCCGTATCTTATTGTCTGGCGTAATGTCTCAGTTTTTCAAAAGCATTTTAGCTAGCCAAGTTTTCCGAAAAGTGAAGCTTATTTTTGTACTTATATTGAGATGGTATTGGATAAACATATTTTCATCCAAAATCCTCACATCGACGACTTAGTATTAAAACTGTTTTATTTATTCAATTTACTTATTTCATTAATTCTTTGGTTTTAGAAATGGTCAAGATTACTATTCGTTTGGTCGGCGAAGAGAATGATAAATTATTCAAGCGTATTGAGTTGGATCCACAGGTTTTTACTTTTATGGTTGATAATAATTGATTTTATGTTAATTTCAGCTTCATGTCGATGACCTGGTGAAGCGAATAGAGACTCTGACGAATATTCCTTGCGATTATCAACAAATCCAATTCCGTGATGAAGAGCTACCCGTTGTTGAGCATCCTCTTCAGGCCATCAAGTTTGGCGAAGAAATTGTTGTCGTAAGTTGAATTTTTAAATTTAGAATTCACTTTTTATTGTTAGGATGTATAAGTTTATTGGTGTGGAATTTAAGGTTTTTGAAAGGCGTTTAATTTTTTTAAAGATTTCATACGCTTAAAAATTGTGTTCTAGAAGCACTCTTCACTTTCACAATGGTCTAACTATTAGGGTGTCCCATAAGTTCGTTAACACTTTCAACAGAAAAGTTATTTAAACATGATGGAAAAGTGTTTACTATACTATACAGCTAGTGAATTCTGTAAAATTGCTCTCGAGTTTAATAAAATTAGTAAAATTGCTCTGTAAAATTGTTTATTTTCAGAAACATGCTGATCTTCCATGGTGGACCGAGTACAAAGAATGTGTTGAGTTAGTGTTGAAGCAGCGCCCGGACAAAGTTGAAATCGCAAAAGAAGCTGTCCAACATCACGAACGTTTAACCAAAAGCGGAATCTTCAATGTCTACGCCCAATTCAACAACTTTCGAAGACAGAATCATACTAAAGTCGCTGCTTGGACCGATGGTGACGTGGAATTGATTCGTAAAGCGACGGAGCAGTACTTCCACAATCTCCATGATCAGAACAGAGGAAATGAAGATTCCAAATTCACTTGTTATTTCGAAGAACGAGACGCGGACTTAGGAGGCAGGCCAACGAACACACTTGCGTTTGTACAGATTCATGGAGAAGATTCGGTTTCGAAGTACAACATTAAGTATGTTTTCTATTCATTCATTCAAGATCCATTTCTGTTTAGATGCCACCATTATGGCCCAAAAGGCTCGAGCTCAGGCCAGGTGCCGGACGTCTCCGAATTCTATTGCTATAAATTATTAGCATTAATCGGTGTCGGCCCCAAATCTCATATTATCCCTCCTAGTATATCGACTGGAACCAAAACAAGCACGTAAGGATTTTACAGCTTTGCGTATATGTTGTGTCCGATTTAGATTTCCGTCCGATTTAGATTGAACTTATCGCGGACGTCCGATTTAGATTACAGTCTATATCGGACGTCCGATTTAGATTCAATCTAAATCGGACGTCTTATATAGATTGAACAATAATATACAGTGGTCCACAAATGTATTGTCCCATTGCCATCCAAAAGTTTCTTTCGCACGAAAATCTTGCAAAATAACGATATTCCCAAATAGTGTAGGGTATTTTGCTTACCCATAATACTCTACTTTTCAGGATTATAAGATTTATCCGTATACATTGCAGAAAAATTAAAGTATAAAACAAAAACAATAAGTTACTTAACAAATAGCTCCACAAAAGTAATGTCCCATTTGCAAAGAATTAACAATTTTTTCAAAAAATTAATATTTGGTTGGTCCTCCTTTTGCTTTTATCGCTTCATTGAGTCGATCCGGCATGGAATCCACGAGATTTTTCAAAAGACTTGGGCGGATGGTGGCCCAAAGATGTTGAATGTGAACCCATAAGGCGGCCTTCGAATCGAATTTCTTTCCCTTGAGGCGCGACTTCACAAATGACCACAAATGTTCAATTGGATTGAGATCCGGTGAGTAGGGAGGTGGATTGATCAATTTAACACGATTTGCCGCAAACCATCCGGGCAGACGAGCTCTGGTACCATTTTGAAGTGTCACCAACCGTCCCATCATCAGTCTCGACTTGTGTTTCGGGTCGTTGTCCTGGTAAAGCATCCATCCGGGAGGCATCGTTTGATTGGCAAAGGGAAGCATTTGGGTCTCCATAATATTCTTGTAAGCCACAGCATTCATCGTTGAGTTGACGTGAACTAATGGACCTACTGAAGTTCGTGACATCGCTCCTAAAGAAAAACAGTCAGGTGACAAAATACTAAAAAGGCTCTTACCCCAACACATTATGTTTCCACCATTGAATTTCACGTTAGGCCGAATGTACTTGAGTGCGTATCGCTTTCCAGTTGGTCGCCGAATAAGATGGTTTCCATCCGCGTGAAATAAATTGATTTTTGTCTCATCGGTAAATAATACTTTCGCCCAATCACGTGTCGTCCAACTTCGGTAGGTCCGTGCAAAGTCAAGGCGCTGCTTCCGGTGCTTAGAATTTGTCAGAGGTTTCGGGGGCAGCCCTTCTTGCATATAATCCAGCTTGATTTAATCGTCGTCTGATCGTTTCCGGCGATACAACCTTGTTAAATTGATCCCTCCATCATTTGGCTTCCATCGGTTGATGTTTTGTTAGGATCGTCTTTCACCATTTGGATCACGGCTCGATCTTCTTTTGTGGTTGTGATTGGTTGTCGGCCACTCTTGAGGCCTCGATGAAGGTTTCGGTAGACTTTTGATTGAGAAAGAATGCGGCGCACCGTCCTTATCGAGCAATTGAAGAGGTTGGCCACATCCTTTTCCCGCATCCCATTTTCCCGAGCCTTGGCGATTCGGAGCTTCGTCGGAGTGTCAAGGTTTTTCTTGCCAGTCATCTAAATAATAAAATAAAATACATTTAATGTTCATAGAAAGCGAAAATAAAAAGGATAATCAAGGAAAACATCAATGGGACATTACTTTTGTGGAGCTATTTGTTAAGTAACTTATTGTTTTTGTTTTATACTTTAATTTTTCTGCAATGTATACGGATAAATCTTATAATCCTGAAAAGTAGAGTATTATGGGTAAGCAAAATACCCTACACTATTTGGGAATATCGTTATTTTGCAAGATTTTCGTGCGAAAGAAACTTTTGGATGGCAATGGGACAATACATTTGTGGACCACTGTAAACATGTTTAATATACGTTCTTAAGCGTTTTCTGAAGTTTTCTGCATTTTCAAGGGTCTTTTATTAATTACAGTCTATATCGGACATCCGATACAGATCGAACAATAATAAACGTGCTTAATATATGTTCTTAAGCGTTTTTTTGCAATTTTCTGCGCTTTTCGACCGGATTAATTAGAATTCTTACGTTCTTTTCAACATCCAAAGGCTGAAATCTAATTGTGCACATTAGGTGAAACCGAAAAACGATCATAAAAGAACCTCTCTTTAGACGCTTGTAACATCTTAGGAAATCTTGTAACATTTAATAGGAAAACAAGAAAACAAAAAATTCTCAAAAAAGACAATAAAATTTCTTTGAAAAGCGCAGAAAACTACAGAAAACGCTTAAGAACATATATTAAGCACGTTTATTATTGTTCGATCTGTATCGGATGTCCGATATAGACTGTAATTAATAAAAGACCCTTGAAAATGCAGAAAACTTCAGGAAAACGCTTAAGAACGTATATTAAACATGTTTTTTATTGTATTCATGATCCATATAAGACGTCCGATTTAGATTGAATCTAAATCGGACGTCCGCGATAAGTTCAATCTAAATCGGACGGAAATCTAAATCGGACACAACATATACATATACATCTTTGCATATTTCAGAGACATTGCTACTCAATGGGACGACAGATTTGAGCTTCTTGAAAACGTTATTAATGAGAACAGCCTTTGCGCGGATGTCGTTGTTCAATTGGTTATGCTTAGAGTGCTCCTATTCATTTCTGATCTACATGAACAGAACTGCGGTTTGTTTTAGTGTCTGAAAACTATAATATAATTGATTTTAGGAAGGTGGAAAGGGACGCAGCACGCCGCAATTGTTGACTTTGCCCCGACAAACGATTTCAAGATTTATCCAGATATCAAAAGCGAACTGATCACAACTTTTCCACACAAAGGATGGAAAAAACAATATTCTGCCGTGAAAAATCAACACGACGACAACTCCTGGTTGAAGATCGCAAAGGTGTATTTGGATAAGTGGGATCTCTCAAACAAGATCGAATTGGCTCGTGAACAATTTGATCCAACTAAAGGCCTCCTTAAAAGGCTAGAAATTGGCTTCAAAAACGACAATTCCGTGTTAGTCCCACCGACCAACTGAACGAATACATCGACACATTGCAAAAAAATTTTGGAGCATCTTCAGACTCTTTTGAATTCCATTGTTTAGTAAACAGTAATCTTCGTATTGTTTTTTTTTGCTCGAATATGTAAACTCTGTTGTTTTATAAATTTATTGCTTTGAAATAGTTTTAAATCCAGAACCAGTAATTATTCCATTTAGAAATTCTTGGTTTTCTTTGGTTAATTTATTTTTCTTTTTATAATTTTTTGTCTTTTAAATGTAGATTGACTATTCACATTTTTTGATACTTTATTATCATTTTGTGACAATTTTAAACTCCTGATCGGAATCAGCTAATCGAGTCTAAATTCACAATTCCTACTTCTCTTGGCTGTATTTGAGTAGGCAAAGTGTCTCTCATAAAGATGCCCCGGAAATTCTTGATTCCTAGCTTTTCTACGAGATTCAGAAGATTTAAATTGGTCAAAGGCTTCAGGTCTTTTGTAAAATGCATTTATTAAGCTTATTTTTTTATTCAAAAAGTTAGCGCACTTTTCTCGACCATTCCGACCATCCATTTCGACCACATTTTTTTCTCTAACGCATTTCGACCTTTTGGTCATTTTTGAAAATTGTTGAAAATGAGACATTTTCGAAGAGTTGAGACACAAAATCAATGAAAATAAGTCTTAAAATGGCTTGAAAATGGGAAAATTGAGAATGGGCGAAAAGGTGCGCTAGAACGGCAAAAATACCTATTATTCTTGTAAGTGGAAAAAAAAGTGCAAAAATTGATATCTTTTGATTTTCAAAGGAAAACCCAACTGTGCAGAGATCTATTGAGTCGATTTCTCTAATTTCTTTAGATTCATAATCTCTAGTTTATATTGTGTCCAAATCTCTTTCACTTTCTCTATAAGATCTCTTCGTGGAGATAAATCAGTTTCGAGTCTATATTCTACCATTGAACTACCAGCGACGGAAAATACAGCAAAATATGTTGTTCGGAATGAATATTAATAAATATTCTGCCTGAACCAAGGGATATGGGCACATCTTATCGCGAACATATGTAATTATTCTATGTAATTTATTTTCCACATCAATGGGGCAGC